TAGTTTATCAGGAAAATATTGCACTTCACTGATTTCTGATCTTTCAGAAATCACGGACGTTGCCGCTTCGTCCACAGTCCTTTTCTTTCTATTTCTTGTTCCGTAATTATGTTCTCTTTGTTGCTCAGAATCTAAGTTTTCACAGGCTTTACTTCCTTTTCTTTCATTCCTTTTCTTTTTTTACTAACATCAATTGCAGAAAAAATTCTCTGACATAACGTAATTATAGAATATTTTGTTTTCTCCTTTAATATATCTCAGTCGCTTTATCTTTAACCACTTAACTTGCTTTCCTTCTGTGTCTATTTTTGTATTTAACAAAATTTTGTTAGACAGATCTTTTAAATCTTTGAACTCATCATATTTGAATTCTTTCACAACGTATGGGTTCTTAACAACTTTCTTATTTTCTTTCTTAATATATACTTTTTTTGATCTTGCTTTCTTAAATACCTTTATCCAATCTGGCATTGAATAGATATCTGTATATTTTTGTTCCGTTTCGATAGCGCTATGTATAGAGACTGCCTCCATGTGTGAATGTCCACTTTCAAGGAATTTTTGTTCAATGATTTGCAAGTTTTCTATTTTTTGAACAGCCCAGAGTAGAATTGCCGCTACGTTCTTATTCCGATTCTGCCCGCCACAGGTATCAGAAAAAAGGCTTACTTCAGTCACAGAATTTGGAATGCAATTCGACAAGTAGTGGTACAAAATAGTACCTATTTCCGCGCTACCTTTTTTGCCATTTACTTCTGACCAAGTGAAACAATATGCATGGTTTGGAAGAGCACTCTCGTATACTGTCAAATTATAGACAGTTAATTTGCGCGTGTCATATAGAAGACCGATGTCTACACTAGGTATATGAAGTATGGCTTGTAAATCAAAAGAAGCAGATAAAAAATCCTTATTATCACCGGCTCTTATCTTATCATTTTCCTTTTCTTTATTACAAGCCTCTTTCCTGGCATTGTGTTCAGCAAATTGTTTTTCGAGTTCCGTTTTATCTTTAGCACCACTTCGTGCATATTTAGTGCAAATCAGACATTGGTCCTTTTTCGGTTTAAAGAATCCCAAATTGAAATCATTGCAAAACATTCTCCGATATGTTATCTCAGATACAGGTTTACTGTTTTTCTTTTTACATTCGTCAACATAAAGACTGTACATCTTTGCAATAGATAGTTTTCTATCCAAATATTGACGTTTAGACTTCTTTCTTACGTAATGACTCTCCATGGATGGAAACGATCGTATGTGGTCATGGACCTCTTGAACTTTTTCAGGAGGTGTCTTATTATGTGCCACGCACATTCCACGAGGGTCTTTATCTTTACTGTATTGTCCAACAAAATCTTTATTTTTTATAGCATTTTGTACCACGCTTTGGCTGATGTAAAGGGTAGTGTAAAAAAAACTTTTGGCACACAATGACCCTTTCATTTTCTATTTCAAAAGAACATTGTGTCGAATACGCTCTTGTGGTTCTTCTCTTCCTATCTAGGGTTAAAGTTTTAGTGTTTGTCCGTGACTAGGTATCGTCTCAGAGAAAAACAATTATCTAGATATACAATATTTTCGTTACAGTTAGCGTTACAATCTTGTATTGATTAATATGGAATTCTTCAGGTAAAACAAATTAATCAGGTTAAATCATTTTTCGCTGTAGTAATTAAGTTGCATCCTTGAATAAGTATTATCAGAGAAAAACAGTTATCTTGATATACAATATTTTCTTAGCCGATTAGATTGTAATGTTAAAATGGAATTCGGCAGGTAAAATCAATTAAACTGTTATAATAGCTTTTATTTGACCATTTTAATCTAGAATGGAGATTTAAATCTTAGTAAATGGTTGTTACTGAGGGAAAAATTGAGTATTTCATGAGCTCTATCTGAAGAAAACCAAATTTTATCAGATTAACTGACAATCATTGGAGACAAATATATAAGCAGTCAAGCTAATTATGCTTAATGTTTTGTATTTGAAAACAAACCTTGGTAATGCTTGAAATAATCGTTTATCTTATTAGCTAGCAGCGAAACTATAAGACTTAGGGATTAATCGGTTTTCGCAGACGAAAAATGACAAAATTTTAAGTACTTTGGCATTCTTAAGTCATTTTCGTCAAAATTTCGATTTAATTGGTTTTCGTTGTAAGGTAACGGTTTGATATGAAACTATCATTCTATGCGTTATTATTCTAAGCTATTATTTATTATACGTTATCGCTCTTCTCACTAATTTTAGCAACCAAAACACAAAAAAGACGAAAAAACAAAAGAATACCTAAACATTTTAGTTTAAGTGTTACCGCCATTTTCTTTTTTTAAAGTAAACTATGAATACTGGGTTGTATGAGTTTTTCTTTTGCCTGGTTACATAATTCATTATTATTAAGTACATTTAAAAATTTAGAGAAGTGGACAGTAGTGGATTTTCATATTTACTTTGCAGGCCTTGGCCGGAAAGATGTCGCACGGTCCATAAATGACAAACTTTCCGTTTTCGTCTTTTGCAAGTAATGCAAACATTTCCGGGCATGTTTGAGAAAATAATATTTTTTAGCGGAGAGTAAGCGGAAGGAAGAAATGATGGGTACAAGATGTAAGATTTTTTTATGGGGACGAAATTTAATCATAGAGATGTGATGTACACTGTCACTTATAATAATAACGCACACACTATACCCGTCACCCTGAGACGTAAACTTGACAAGTGCGTATAGTATATTCACCAGCAAGCACCCTTACCCTTCAAACCGAAATAGGAAGTTGGGACGGTCAAGAAATTGCTTTTGGAAACGGGTATCAAACTGTTTGAGGATCTTATGTAAGTTGTTTCGAGACTTTGATAGAACAACTTAATTGACAAATAGACGTATGTAACAAGTTGACGTTTCTTCAATTGAGTTTGGGAGTATGACTATTAGAACACATGGATACTGAAATTTTATTTGGTACGAAAGATTCATTAAAAATAATATTTGAGTTTGGAACCGCTGAAATGTTGTAATTACCATTTACTTTTTGTAAAAAAAAAAATATTTTCTTGTCGAGAATCCAACACACCACGAAGTGTGAAATGGGTTTCCTAATGATCACTCCACCATCAGTTATTTTTTCTTTATTATATTCACCTCAACGGTCGCCTCGCCTATAGCACGCATACTCATTTGTGTATGTAAAATTTTTATTTAATTTCGTTCGTGAAATTACGTAGTAAGTGCCTCTTTTTATCTTTTAACCATCAATGTGTGAATTAAGGTGATGGTTGACCGCATCACCTTAGTTTGTAACTCCAAAGTCTTTAATTTTATTTAAAAACCTGTATAGTTGCATGTCAAAAAATAATTAAAAATATACAAAATAAAGTTCAGTTTTCTGTAACTTTGTGCTAGTACGTTATTCAGATAGCCTTCAAACAGGATAGCATTAATAATAGAAGGAAACATTGCATCAAATATTGCTTCATTTTTATTGAAAATTACAGAAAGATTATGGAAAACATATTTTGAAAGTTGCAGTCAATGAACAGAGTGCAGGGTAATGATTTCGATATCTATGTAGTACAGGGGAATGCAATAACAATGTTTTTCATAGGTATATAACAATCACTGGTAAGCGACACGCCTGTCCATAACAGTGATGCCCAGGGCTTTTCTTTATCTACATTTTAAGAAGCTTTACCGTGTAAGAAATTGGTAATATCGCTTCATAATGCTACTTAATTTATATATATAACCTAGATTAAGACTACTTAAATATATTTTGTACAGTATCTTGGCTGCGTTCGATGAAGGACCGGCCAATTGTTATACCACCCAGTCCGTCGTGTGCTGGTCACACTGCCCAACTGTCTCCTGAGTTTCATGGTCCAAACACATTATCAAATTGCGGTAAACGTCTTCAATGACTCCGCAATTGGTACAATATGGTGTTGATGTAATGCCCACCAAAAAGGTATACTTCTTTAAAGGAATGTGCTCTGAGCGCAACCTCAGAGCTGTCACAACAATAAATTACTCCTAAATTACAATATTTTTTTATGATACCCATTGACGAGACGATCAAGTTGCAGTGTCACTCAGACCTTTAAATCGCAATAATCGGAGGGGCAGTGCACTGGCGTCTGCCACCCTAAGACAAGTTGATATGTCCCCTGTAATTTCGCCATCACCCTGGAACGCAGTAATGTTTCACTGCAGAAATAGGTAAGGTGGCAGTAGTTCCCTGGACGAACTCTTTCACCAGGAGCTCTACTGCTATTTTTCAGTTCCCAACGTTTCGTGCTCTTTATAGCTCCCGCGATGAAGGCTAAGTCAGGAAATAAACGTGATTATAAATCCGAAAAAGTAATTTAAATTCCAAACATTTCATGGTTTACTTTTCTTCTTACTAAAAAACGGTCCTCATTTGGAAAATACTCATCGTATTATTAAAGGAGAAGCAACGAAATATGTTCCTTTCATGTTTAATCTATGCTTCTAAAAGAGAACAGCCAATTCTCATAAAAATGGAACGCGGGCTAAAAGTTATGTAAGTCAAAAAATATTAAACGTAGTACACGTAGTCTTTATATTTTAGATTGTCATCATTATCTGTTAATTCGATCTTCAGAAAAGAATGAGGTTCTCAATTAGACTAATTTTTTTAAGTATTTCTGTATGGTCCTAGGACGGGGTGTGTTAGTTGTTCCACCTCCACGTGTGCGAAGTCTTTGAGCAGTCTGTGGTAACATGTTATCACAGAACGCCCAAGGACGTAGCCGGTACACCCTGGGGCCAACACTGACAATCCTCGGCTTCAGTCTGAAAATTGTCAGTGAGGGCGCGAAGCGATCAACACGGCCCGGCCATGCGTTTCTGGGGGTGGACCATGGCACGTGGTGGGCAGTCTAAACTTACACCCTCCTGCGTTAATGCCTACGCAGTTGAGCGCCGTACGCAGGGATGAAGGAATCCTGGGGGGTTGAGCCCGAGCGGGGTGGAGACTCCGGCAAGCAATACGCCCCCTTTGGCCCTGATTTCCTGCTAAACGGTAGCCCTGTGATTAGCCAACACAGGGAAATGGCATTGTGTCCCGTCAGAGGGCCACAGGCGAGGTGTGGGGGGGACGGACTCGGCCATGCTGACGGGGTGAGTATGTGCGGAACACCTGGCTGACCTTGATCAGGTCAGCCAGCCGCACATTTCGAGCCCCCGATGTCGCGCAGTGAGCTCCCAACTTCTGCACCTATACTCTCCTGACAATCCTGGTGTCCCGAATGGGACATCCCCAAAGGTGCGGGCTCCGTGGTGGGTGGGAAGTCAGGAGAGTGAATTTTTACGAACTTTAAATATGGATTTAAATGATCAACTTTTAACCAAAACCCAAAACCCAAAACCGGCGGTACTCGAGGGGAAACCCAAAAGTGCCCCACAAACAAATACGAACACACAGCGCCCTACGGTGAGTGGTAGGCCAAAGGGGAAACCCCAAGGTCAGCCGAGCACCGATGCTGGTGCTAGCACCACACCAGCGGTTGTGGCCCAAACCCCAGGTTCTGCGGCCCCCGCTCAAAACCCCTCAAACGCGGCCCTTGAAGCAGGGTGGACCCTGGTGAGTCGCCAGCCCAAATCCAAGGCCACGGCACCCATCCGTAAGGAAGGGACTAGTGGCCATGGCGAGCGCCCACCCCCGGCCCCCAGTGGGAGCAGGGGACGCCCTGCCCGTAAAAACAAGAAGGGCCGTCGTAAAGAACGCGAGCGTCGTACCACACACAACCCCCTGCCGAAGGAGGGAGAGGCGAGGCCCCCAGTGGGTGGCGCGAGTGGCCCAGGGACTGCATCAGCACGGTCTAATGGGTCGGTCGCGCACCCCACTGGAAGGGCCCCCCTCCCTTCTAACAGCAAACCGGTAGAGAGCAGGCAGAGGTCCTCGACCATTGCCAAACGTGCCCGCCTTGACGAGACCATATCTCCTAGAGGCGAGCACAAGCGGCAAAAGGTTGAGAGGCCCGCCGAGCAACGCACTTACGCCGAGGCCACCAGGCCTGAACTCATGGCGGTAATTACATCAGCCAAAACTGGCTACATACGGAGCCCCGATGCCGACATGGTACAGGTGGCCCTATGTAAGCTCCTCTCGCAAGGAGCGGAGGAGTGCAGCGAGGAGGACGTCGGCCCACAGTTTCGTGGTAAACCTGTCTACAGTGACGGGTCCCTGAAACTGTGGTGTCAGGACACAGCCACCTTCCAGTGGCTAGAAGATGCCCTTAGCACCATCAGGCTGCCATCCGGGGAGCCCCTCTCATTGAAAAATGGGGTGGAGGCTCCCCGGAGGGTGGTCTGCGGACTACTCATCCCTGGTCACTGGGAGGATGCGCGTCGAATCGGCCGCATCCTCAAGTGGCAAAACCCGTGGGCGGAGGCACACCGCTGGGTTGTTCACAAGCTGCAGCAGCACAGTGACAACTCTTTCGTAGTGGTGAGCCTCCCAGAGGAACTCGTCCCCGCTGTCCTGGGGCATGGCCGGCGCCTAACCTTCCAGTTGGGCACGGTCTACCTCAGGTTCAGATCGAAGAGGGGCCTGTACACCGATGTGCCACCCGAGAAGACGGGCACATCAGCGACGCGGATGGACGTCTCCCCGGAGCCCTCCACCTCCTCCAATATTCCCGGAGAAGGTGAAGGGCCCTCCTCGACCCCCGTCTCTGCGGACGCCGCTGTCAAACCGGTGGCGACCAGCAGCGACGACGAGTGTGTGTTGGGGATGGGAGACATCCGACTGAGCGAGGACGTGGACGAGGAGCTGCTATCTTCTGATGGCGGTTTCCCCCTCGCTCAGTAAACTACACATCGTCCAGAGCAACCTCCACCACAGCCAGGCCGCAACGGTTCAGCTCCGGAAATGGTTGGAGGCTAACAACACAGCCATGGCACTAATCCAGGAACCGTGGATTAGTGCCCGTGGTCAAATAAATGGACTCTCACACCTGAGAGGTAAGCTACTATCGACTACCATCTCAGATAAACCTAGAACTTGCATATATTACTCGAATAACTTACATGTACAGCCACTAACTGAATTCTGTTCCAGAGACCTGTGTGCCGTAAAGCTTTTAGCAGACGCGGCCACGGGTCTGCCTGAAGTGGTGCTCGCCTCTGTCTATATGGCGGAGACTGATGTGCCACCACCGCAGGAAATGGTTCAGCTAATCAACTACTGCGAGCAGAACGGCCAGAATATCGTCGTGGCTACTGACTCCAATGCCCACCATCCGTTGTGGGGCATGGATCTCGCAAATGATAGAGGTAAGAACCTAACAGAATACTTATTCACAACTAACCTTCAAATCCTTAATAAAGGTATAGTACCAACTTTTATAAATAAAAGATGTAGAACTATTATAGACCTAACCCTAGCG